AGATAGATAGATAGATAGATAGATAGATAGATAGATAGATAGATAGATAGATAGATAGATAGATAGATTTTCTTGCTTTGTAAACTATGGTCAGCTACACCACACTGTGTGACATACCTCAAAATGGCAAGGAAACCACACCATCAGTGTTTGGTCATCATGTCCAGAAGAGCTCTGGGGGCATGGGGGGGGGACAGGATTGGCAGCTGCAGATGACCCACCCATAGGCTCAGCTTAATCTGATCCAATGTATAAATGTTGGCAGATTCATCTAGCAATTCAAACATTTTCTTGATTTAGATCCATTTATATACCAGTTAAACTCCAATAGTCAGTGATGATATTCATCTCACAAATATGAATGCTCTGTTCTCATAATAATTCTACCATCATTTATTCCCTAGATGATGCATACTTACTGCAGGGACTTAATATTGAGGAACTTTATCCTGAAACCTCTAGTTTCATTACATATGATGGGTCCATGACAATCCCACCCTGCTACGAAACAGCAAGTTGGATACTAATGAACAAACCTGTCTACATATCAAGAATGCAGGTAAAATGAAAAATCTTTATGGGCTATGATACATTACCTTTGGAAATAATGAATTCTACTTATAATTGCTGTGGCTTCAGATATGTGTACTTATTTTTCTGAAAAACCACTGTAAATTAGGCAGCCTACAGTACAGAAGTTAAAAAGAATCCCACAACTTTAAAACTTCATGGTATAGAAAGTTATTATCACTGTTCTCCACCTAATATGGAGGGAAAGAATGGGAGCAGAGGATTCAACCATTTTCAAGAAGGCAAAACGTTTTGGTGTTTCACAGGGCTAAATGTGCAATGGAAGGCTCCCCTCTTAAACACTTTTTTTTTCCTTTTAAATATCTTTTCAAACTGCTGCAATGAAGGCAGAAGCATTTTAAGAGGCAGAAGTAATGGCAGTTGGAGCATTGTTACAGTATTATATATAGTAGTAAGAAAAGATTGTGAAAAGAAAAAGTTACAAGTGGAACTTTGCAAAGTTGACAGATGGAAAAGACTTGCTTTTCCATCATGGTGAGATTCTTTATAGACTGCCCCTCCCCCCCCCCACCTCCCCCCTACCTGCCCACCAAAATGAGACAGACCATTTCAGTCCATCTCAGCCTTTAAAATTACAGTCCTGTTTAGGGGAAAAGTTTCCCCCTCTCTCCTCTAATTCCAGCACAACAGTATTCTACAAGTAGCTCGTCTCAGTCATAACAGTCTTTCTTTTATAACAATGTCTCTTTTATCGTGTTTTATCATGAAAAATAAGGGAATCAAGTCACCATTTTGTCTCTTCCTACTAATGAATTACACTGCAGTAATGCTAATCTATGGCTTAAACTGATTTAGATTGCAATCCTATATTCCCTTATTGTGGAATAAACTGTACTGAAAATAATTCCATTTACCTGTAAATAGCTCAACTAGTGACAACATTAGCTTACCTTCACTGATCTGGACAAGCTAAGCAAGATCAGACCTGGTTAAAACTTTCATGGGAGACCACCAGAAAATAGGGCCATAGGGTAGACTGGGGGATTTAAAAAGCACATCCTGAAGAAGGTGGTAGCTGATCACTTCCATAGTTGCCAAGAAAACTACGTGGATGTAGTCGCAACTTCAAGGAGAGTTTATCTTAAACAGCTTCAGAATGACACTGATAAATAATTTCTGCTGGATATAGAACAACAGAGCTGATTCTCTGAAGCTCTTTGCCCTTCATTCATGTCTCCAGAAACTGAAAAAAAAATGGACAAAATTAGTAAATCATCTACAGTTTGCATAATATTCAAAAGCTGTACAATTCCCTCTCAAGAGATACTGAATTGCTCTGTATTGTTTTAAAGGGCAGATTTACTACTGCCCTCACAATAAATAGCCAAACTCCTGTTCACCAATTGTCCCAGATTAAAATTAGCTTCTGGTTTTGCTCTCAGGTATTAATATTAAAAATCAATCTTCCTCTGTTTTGACTTTTTATCTTTATGCAGATGCATTCACTACGGTTACTAAGCCAGAATCAGCCTTCACAGATTTTTCTGAGTATGAGTGATAACTTCAGACCAGTCCAGCCTCTCAACAATCGATGTATCCGAACAAATATCAACTTTAGTTTACAAGGGAAAGATTGCCCAAACAATAGAGCACAGAAACTACAATATAGAGGTATGCTCCAAACTTTATTTTCATTTCAAAGAAATGTTTTTAGTTTTGGAATCCCCTTTTTGTTACATTGTGAGGTTAGGAAGCTTTGATGTACCTTATCCCAGGTTAAATTGTATAAATTTAAGCCCAATATTTTCCACTCTGATAACCATTCTTCAGAGCCTCAAACAGAGAAGGATCTTTCAATCACCTGCTGCCTGGTCAGCAACTGGAAATGCTAGGGTTAAATCTGGGATTTTTGATGTGCAAAATGTATGTTCTGCCACTGTAGACAGCTCTTTCAACCTTCTAAGCAGGCTTCTAAACCTTCAGCAAAATAAGGCATATCGAGGAAAAAAAACATGGCTGGCATGGTGGTACAGTAGCTGGAGTTCTGGCCATTGGGCATCAGTGGAAGGAGTTGGACCAGAGGTGTGGAGCTGAAAATAAATATGCTCGAAAAATTTAAAGACTGCATAGAGGAGATTACCCTGCTGAAGGATTCTGCATACCATGCATTGAGATAACCAAATTCTGTTTCAGAACAGTGGAATCACTTATATATAACAAAAATCAGGCTGATTTTAAGGTTCAGGCACAAGTGCAAGCAAGAGTGCGCTGCTTTAATTATTACTCTTTCCCAGGTAATTCTTCTTCATATGCCTAATTTATTTGGGGAACAAGAAGGAGAAAGAGGGTTTTGTTTTATTTTGTTTTGTTTTTCAGTAAGAGACTTTCTTCCAAAAAAACATTGGCGACCAGGAAATTAGAAGCACAATTCATTCTGGAACTATTGTTTCTGTTTTGTTTTGGAAAGCCAGTAATACTGCCTTCCCTGATGAACCTTCCAATCCAGTGTTTTTCAAACTTGGCATCTTTAAGATGTGTGGACTTCAGTTTCCAGAATTCTCCAGCCAGCATGT